ATATATATATATATATATATATATCTTTCCACCCATTTATCCACCTGCTGACTTTAGATTATCTGAGAACTTCATGTGTCTAAGATGTAAAATAAAAAGAGAGGTTTCTAAGTGATGGATCTTTCTTCTTTTTATTCTTTGTTTTATATGAATCTCTGATGTTTCATTGCGTTTTTCATCCTGCTTTAGACTTTATTAAGTTTAACTTTAAAAAAATAATAGTTTTAGAGTCTGCTCAGAGGTACTTTAGAGCTGAATAAAAGAATCGGGTCAATATTGTGGGTCAGGTTATTTATAAATTACAATAATGCTTCCAGGAGGAGTTTCCCTGTTCTGTAAGATTATCATATATGAGATTTAAAATCAAGGTTAAAAGGAACATTTTAAACAAAATCCATGTGTTGTAGAAAACGGTGGGTTTTTGATCGCTGGGCTCTTCTTCCATTTATGTGAGATAAAACCAAAGATCAGGCGAGGCATCATAGACTGGGCCCATCTACACTAACATTGTTAAAAGGAAAATTTGTTGATTTTCTGCTGCAGTTCTCAGCAGATAATAAACAAAAATCAGCATAATTTTGAAGTTTCAGCCACATAATTAATGAAATGTAAAAACGTTGCAATCTGAGGTGTCCCTTCTCCTGATGTCGTGACGTTTCATTACGAGGTGATGGTGTACGAGCCGGACCGCCGGTTCATGTGCTTCCCCAGGTCTTCCTGAAACACATCAATAAATCATAAAGCAATCAGCTTCTTAAAGCCTTTTAATCTTTTATTTTCGTATTTAAAAGGTCTGATGCTTTTAGCTTGAAGTGGGCAACATTCTTACTCGGGGTGTGTCTAATAAAAGAGCTTAAACTAGATGCAATTCATTGTGTCAGACTGTAAAAAAAAAGAATGACTGTAATCTCCAGATAGAAACATAAAAAAAAACATTTGCATTAAATTAACCCTTTGATGATGATTTGTACAGCCTGCTCAGGGCGTGTGGCTAAAAGTCAACTCTTACGATTTTTATTTGTTCTTTTTGTCTCAGATATATTCGTCACAGTGAAGGTCATAGCTTTCATTGATTCCCTGTGATCCCTCTTTAAACTTTGACTCAATAAAATGCAAACAGCCAAATAACTTTTACCGTACGCTCTAACACACCCAACACCCTTCTATCAGGATGTTTGCTTTTCTCTCCTCAAATCTGCCGGTGTTCTGACAGACCAGCATACCCATAGCGACGTCAGATTTGCGTTTATCCATTTAGTTTTGTACAAAAAAAGACTTTAAACTACCTCAACGGGGGTGTATCCCTTTAGTCATGTCCCAAAAAAACAATTTAGGAGGTTAGATTGCCACACGCTTCAAAAAACACCAAAAGTAATTCATTTAATTGTTTTATTCGTCCATGACTAAAGGAAAACACACAAGCTGAGGTATAAAGTGTATTTTTCATACAAAACTAAAGGGATAAACGGGTTTTGAGTATGGGTATGCTGGTCTCTCCCGGTATGCTCACCTGGCAGAATACAGGATCCTTTTCTTTTTCACTCACTGTTTATGCTTAAAATATTCAGAAACAAATCCTGTGTATTTTCTTTTTGAGGAATAAATATGTTTAATTCATATTTGCTGATTTAGAAACAGTGGCACAAAAATAGGAAACAGAACATTAAATGATCTTTACTGACAGTTTTCCAGAGTTGTTACAACACTGAACCGTAGCAATGCATTAAAACCAGAGATGGCAAAAGTACTCACTTTCCGTACTTGAGTAAAAGTACAGATACTTGTGTTAAAAAATACTCTGGTAAAAGTGGAAGTATTGATTAAACTTCTTTACTCAAGTAAAAGTAACAAAAAAAGTAAATTTACTT